TCATATAATCCAGCTACTTGGGAGGCTGAAGCAGGAGGGTTTTAATTTTGAGGCCAGTGGGCAACTTAGAATTACCATGTCTCAGCCTATATGAAAATGAAGTCCAGAGATGTTCACAGAGTGGTCCAAGTTAACAGCAGAAGAGTCGCAGAACTTTGACTTGAAATCTGAGTTTTATGATCCCATATAATATGCCACATAGTCCCAATCTGCTGTCCTCACCCTTCACACCAGTAGCGTTAGAGCTTAAAGGGGCAGTTGTTCTGGGGATGGGAAGGACCGGAGCCTACACATTTCCATTCTACACAGTGTTACTCCAGGTTGGTCAATTTATTCACAAGAAACTGGTACATAAATGATTTGCAATGAAGCTGCCTCTTAGTTTACAGTTGCACACATGCTTTTCCAGTGCATGGACTTTTATTTGCCTGCTGGTTTACTGAAGTTCTGGTAGGCCTACCTGTTACTAATGGAATGTGTTACTATTGGAAAATGTGTTACTAAATGTGTTACTATTGGAACACTAAGTTCTGAAAGAGGTGTGCAATCCAAAAAAGGGGCTCCTTTCTAGTCTGCTTGGCTCTGCTGGGTGTCACTGTAGCTCTTAAACTAGCTCTCCACCCCACCTACTCCAGTGGCTCTTGTTATGGGCATAGGAAATTGATGGTAGAGCTGATAGGGTCATGAGAGATACAGAGAATTTAAAAGTCAAGAATGACAAATTTCAGCTGTAGAAATCTGACAATTTTATTTTAGTTTTCTCCTCCTATATTGTTGAGCCTTTGTTCGCAGATGGAAGCTACATGTAGTAATACGTAAAGTGCAGTAAAGTATGTGCAAATGTGCTCCTGGCTTCATTTTGATTTCATTTTGATGAAGCCCTTGAGAATATTCTCATGAAGGCCCATGTGTAGATTCTGAAAATGAGTGTCTTCATTCCCACCAATTTTCTAAAACAAGGCCAGTTCAAAGGAGAGAATGGGTATGTTCGTTCAACCATGATGGTTCCATTTTAACCAAGCATGTGGGGTGGTCCAGATGTGAGCAGTATGAATGAAGACAACTTTCCTTTGATGTGGGACACAACTTTTACCAACTTCCCCAAACATATCTTCCCATTTCCTGTGGGGTTGTATTCTACACTTGTTTAATGATTGTTAGAGCCATAGAAACAAATGTGAATCTGGTTTGCATGCTTCCTTTCCTTAGAAATGAAGGGGGCCTCTGAAACCCAGATTGTTCCTAGGGAGCAATGTCAGAAAATAGGACTGACCATTATCTGAGAATAGAAATGAAGCAGTGTTAGTTATCCTTTGCATAGAGAGGCTTGGTGGATCTGATAGGAGGGGTCGTTCTGGTTTGTACATTGAGAGAGGAGAGTAGTCACTCAGATTCTTCCAAGGATTCTTATCTTGGCAATCTGTCCTTTTGTGTATTTGAATTATTTTTCACTAAGTTTATAGTAACTATAAAGAGAAATATAAATCTCTTCCTTTTGAAGATGAAAACTATTTCTCTGTTTCATGACACACATGTTCTCAGCATGAATTTGTCTGTTGACAGAATGAGGGATTTGTAAAGAAATACATGGAGTGGGAACTCTTCTTAATGTCTATTTCAGTCCTGCCTACCAAGCCAATATCATTTTGGAAATATTTACCCATCATGAAATTAATCTGGTGTTGCTTATACTTGATTTGACGTCATCTCTTTTTATTAACTGGCTATGTGTAGTTTGTTTTGTTACTGCCCACGTGCACTTTCCCCTGTTATTTAAAATTTATTTACTCTAATACCTTGGATGCAATCCTTGATTATTTATGAGTTATCCTGTTAGTAATTATACCTGTTCAGGGTCAGTATACTAATTCCTGTCCTGCCTACTCCTGTGGGTCCTTCCTATTACAACTGTCCTTCTTTGCAGCTTTAACCTCCAACACAGATGGAGGTGAGGGGCTATGAGGGCAGAAATGGGACCAGGTGGCTGCATAGTGCTGCACTCCTGTGATACCCAGATGTAGCAGTGTGTGTTTCTTTTGTGTTGATCAGTTGGAAATTGAATAAACTGGAAAGGGAATTATCTAGCTATTTTTCAACTGGTCTTATAGTTGGTAGTCAAAATGGCTGAGTCAGTCTAATATTGTATAAGTCACTAGTTCCTAAATGTTTGTCCAGAAACCATGATTTCTTTTTAAAAGCCTGAGTTCCTAATCCCATCTGTGCAGATTCTCATTCAATACCTCTCAGCTTGGACCCCTGGAGTCTGCTGTATTTAGAAATTTGTGGAAAATTCTGGTGCACATATGTCAAGTATTATGTGTGTGATGCAAGGGTTGTGATTTTTAAATTTACTTTTTTTTTTTTTTTCCTGGTCTCTTAGATAATTCTGGAAGGGTATAACTATCCTCTTTAATGGACTATGTTGATCTGAGCATTCTGGGCTATGTGGGAGTGGGATCATTAAGTGGGCATTGGAGACTGATTCTCGTCTTGGTTTTGCCACTCTGTTGACCATCCATCAGGTTAGGGATATTTAATCTGTCTGAGACTTAGTTTTATTCATAAAACAAAGGCATCAGATTATTCAAGACACTTTTCAGCTTCCTAACATTCTTTGATTTGAAGGGCTTTGCTCTACTAGCAATTATGTCTGTTGTCATTGTTCACTGGGTGGCTCTTACCTTTTCTAAAGGAGTGAATGCCTGCCTATTTGCTCAACAGAACATTAATCATGGTCTACTTCTTAGAAGAGCTGGTGTCTGTCCCCAGATCCAAGAGGGCCTTTCTTCCTTTTCTTTTTCTTGCCATTATCATCTTGAAGCCAGTCATTCTCCTCAAGTTCTTATGTTGGGGAGTGTGCTAAAATAAAGTTGCGGTTGTGATTCTGACCCTTTCTCTGCCAACCCTTGGCAATTTTCAACCACTGGACCCTCTTTGCAGGTGAGGATGCTTGTCCTTTTGGATATAGATGTAACTGATGTCAGAATAGAGAGCAGGGCCTAGAGTGCTTCACTATATTCAATAAAATGTTTTGTTTCCAGGAATTTGCCACATATTTGCTTGAGGGTTTGGCTGAGTGCAGGGGCAGAACATGATGTCCCCTTAGGTTTCTGGTCCTTGGCCTTCATGGAGCATCAAAACAAGTAATAGTGTTTTTAAATCGTGCATGTCCATGTCACCCTACCCCCACTCAAAACTATTGAATCAGACTCTTCAGAGTGGAACTGGACAAGCAGATTTTTTCAAAGGCTGTCAATTCTCCCTTCCAAACCAACTCTTCTTCCTCCTGTCTGGGCTCATGTAATGTTCCTCTGCCTCTTGAAACTATTTTTAATTAAGGCAGATATAAATAAATGGAGAGTCATCAACAGAATTTTGTAAAACTGTGGTCTTATTCTGTTGGAAGAATTTGGTCTTTAAGACTAGAAGACCCTCACAGGTTAGAGGCTGTTTCCTTCTCATTCCCAGGGTTGGGTTTAGGCCTAGGAACTATCATTACAGATGTACTTAAAAAAATTTTTTTTAAGTACATCTGTAGTGGACAGAATGCCTTTATTTATTTTATTTTATTTTTATGTGGTACTGAGGATCAAACCCAGTGCCTCACACATGCTAGGCAAGTGCTCCACCACTGAGCTATAGCCCCAGCCCTACAGATGTACTTTTGACACCTGTCTATAGTGGTTCAATGGTTCTCTCTTTACTCTAAAACATGATAGAGATTAGTAGTAAATAAGTCACCTTTTTGTGAAGTATTAACACAATTACTTGTTTATCTTCTGTTCAGGGCAATTCACAAATAATTGAGTACTTACAATGTGCTAAGCATTGATCTGAATATTGAAGATATAGTAGTAAATAAAACAGACAAAAGTCCTGCCTTCATGGAACTTTCTCTTCATCAGTACATATGTATATTCACATGGAATTTAACATGACTGAATTAAATGACTGCATTGTAGCATTATGAAATACTATTTTAGAATAATTCCTCAGGACTAGCCTTGCTGGCTATATCTAAGATCATAAATGGAATCAAAATTTAGAGCTTAGCTTGTGAAATCTACATTTAATTTGCAAAATGCTAACTTGGGGACTGTGTTCTACTAATTCAGCATGTGGTTCATAGTTCAGGTAAATATTTTTTTGGCGGTAGAATGTATAAAGCAGTAGGTGTAGAACTTTGCTACTTAAAAGGTAGCCAAGGACAGTGACAGAATTGCAATTCATCTTTTTATTTTGGGACTAGTATTTAATAAAGTCTTCCTTTGACATTGTGTTTTAGCTTGATGTATTTAAATATTTATTTCCATGTATGTGAAAATACCTTGGAGCCCTGGGGTTCCCACTATTTTATCTGTTTATTTCACCTGTTCAATGAAAGCATTAATTTGAGCTAAATGCTTATGTTTCAGGCCTTGGGGCTGAATTACTACTTCACGAATTTCCACAAATTTCTATATTCACCTTATGTGGGTTAATATAGCTTTCCAAATTGTCTGCTTTACTCTTGTGTTGTGATTTATGCACTAAAATTATTTGATACAGTTAGACATGAAAATTTTGAGTTGCTTTCAAGGAATTTAAAAATTATTTGAATCTTTTAGTATGTCTGCCTTAAAAGTAATTTGGTAAAAGGAAAGCTATTGTGATTCATACACACATACACACACACTTTTTTTTTGCCATGAGTTATGATCTTGGATTCTCAGTGCATTTTAAAATATTGTTGGGTGTGCAAACACAACAATGAGTTAAGAGCACATTTGATATTAATTTTAAAATATCAAGAGAATATGTAAAAGAAATCAAGGATCAGCTTTTAGTCCTATTTCCGGTGGCTATTTGTGAATTAACTAACTTCAGAGAGAAACAGTGTGAGAGAGGAAGAGGAAAAACAAAGATATTCTGGAAGTAATTATTAATGCTGAAATTTCCATATCTAATTTTGGAATGCTTGTGTTTGGAATGTGACATGGCAACAAAAATGTATGTTTCAGGTTTGTGGAGAAAAACAGCGCTTCGAGAAGTTGATGGAACATTTCAGGAATGAAGACAATAACATAGATTTTATGGTGAGTTATTTAATACTACGTTCAATAAAGCAAACTCAATTTCAGCACTTTTTCCCTAAGTATATTCATACATATACATACACATGTGTTATACAGGACAGACAGAAAATTGAGTTTAATATGCTATAGATCCTTTCTAGAATGTTTCTCTTCATCTGTATTTTCTCTTTGTGGTATTTGTTTACAGTTTTATTCATTTCAAACACATTCAGTAAACACCAAGAGTGCTGATTATGTATGGTAAATAAAGGGGGAAGCCACACAACTGGGGAAAAGGAAATCGAGACCTGGTTCAAATGCTTACAATTGCCAACTTGAACTACCAATGGTACTACATAATATTTGTAGGGTGTAAGGAATCTTGATGTTTTTGACTCTTGCAGACTCCAGTCAGTTGCCCTTCTCCAGACTGTATTCTCAAAAACTATGCACTTTGCTTTGTAGAATTGACTCTTCAGCAGTGATTTCCCCCTCCTTCAATCTCTTTCCTCCTTTAGTAACTCTGTGATGGCATAATCATACTGTACATCTTCTTAGCAGGCTAAATCACATGCAGGACATTTGGTTTCATAGCAGTGCTATTGTTCTCAGGTGAGCACAGCAAAATGCATTTAAGCACTTCTGAATCCATATGCCCAAATCTTATTTCTGGACTGAGATGGGATTTACCATAGAGAATTTCCTGACACATTATACACCTCTGTAGCCTTTGACCCAATCCACTTGCTCTAGCGATCTTCTGGACCCAGGAGATCCTTAACTGAGTTTAACCTAACCTGGAGCAATTATCCCAAACAGTTCTTACATTGCAAAGCCTATACTTAGGATGTCATGTAAAGTTTTATTTTGAATTGCTTTAGTGACTATAAAGTGTAAAACAGAGCTTTTCAGATTTCTAACCCTTTTATGTGAATTTTCTTTTTTCTGGGACCTCAAATTTTATATGCATCCCTAGCCTTCATCTCCTTCCAAAATCAGTGAGAAAGATGAAATCTTTTATAGAGAAACTGTTCTTTTCCATAAAGCATGTTATTTGCTTTTGGAAAATGAAAAAACATGTATGTGAAACAATGCATACTTTTATATTCTTGTTAGGATTTTCTGGAGAAGTTCAGGCGAATGCTGGCACTGGTAATGAATATGTAAAGAGGTCTAGCCTTGGTTTACATTACCAGCTTCTTTTCTGTTCCTTGTAAGGAGGAACATTCTTGTTTGATTAGAGCTGAGGTTGCAAACTGGAGGCCCCAGACTGAAACCATGCTACAGGCTTGGTGAACATAATGTTAGATTTTGATTTTTTATTTTTATTAAAAATGTCTGATAACATTAGGCCCCCATTTCTGTAAAGATATTATCTCCAATTTGTCACAATCTTCACTGTCCATTATTGTATTACATATGACCCATCTTACTTATTTATGATAACTGCTAACCCTGTCATTTGAGTTTGCTGAAATTATAAGCCCATTAAAACATCTATACCTAGCTACATCAATGTTTATAGTAGCTCAATTCTAAAAACTTAGAGAGTTTATATATCTTCCAAAGATGTCCAGTATATAACATTCCAGCCTAGGTGACCTTCAACAGATGAATGGATAGAGAAAATGTGGCATATATACCCAATGGAATACTTTTTTCTTATTCATAAAGAAGAATGAAATTATGATATTTGCTCATAAATGGATGGAACTAGAGACTATTATGCTAAGTGAAATAAGCCAGTACCCCAAAACCACAGGCCACATGCTCTCCCTGTTATGAGGATGGTAGCACACAGTAAAGAGACTGGGAGAATAGAAGTTCATTGGATTAGACAAAGGGGAATAAAAGGAAGGGACAGTGGATGGGAATAGGAAAGACAATAGAATCAGACATAACTTCCTATGTTCATATATGAATATACAAGCAGTGTAACTTCACATCATGTACAACCACAAGAATGGGAAGTTATACTCCATGTACGTATAATATGTCAAAATACACTCTTTTGTCAACTATAACAACAACAACAATAAAACACATATACCGTTGTATTACAGATTGGAGCCAGTTCCTGTCAGTTCACTTACTCATATGCACACATGCAAGGTACCTTCTTGACAGGCTGCAAGAATTCAACTCCTGGGCATTGCTGGGCACTGGTGCATACCTGTAATCCCAGTGACTTGGGAGTCTGAAGCAGGAGGATCACAAGTTCAAGGCCAGCCTCAGCAATTTAGCAGGATCGTGTCGCGCAAAAAAAAAAAAAGTAATAATAGTAAAAAGAACTGGGGATGTTGCTCAGTGGTTAATGTCCCTGGGTTCCAATTCTTACTATAAAAACAAACAAAGAAAATTCCCCCAAACAAACCCCAAGTACTATTATTGCTGGATTCTATGTCATATAAAAATAGTTGTCTTTTAGGTTTATTATAAAGTCAGCAGATCATTTAGATCTATGTTTCAGAAGAGAAATGGGAAGATGCTAGAATTCAACCACATTTTCCCTCCAGAAAATGAGGTTTTTGATAAATTGGGAATGCAGTTACATTGCCCAATCTCCCAAACAACATATTCCTCATAACATGTAACTTTTTTTTTTATATGTAGTTTAAGACCCTTTTCTGTGTTTTTGTGGAGAAAAGAAAACAAAAAACAGTCAAAATGATTTTTTAAGTTCATTTAACCGTAGACCTTGAAATACTTTTTGGTAAATTGTAGTAGAGTCCCCTTGTAACTTAGAGAGTTTATACATCTTCCGAAGATATCCAGTATATAACATTCCAAGAGGACTCTAACTCAGTAAAAACAATTTTTAAAAAGCTAAGGGTAGGGGCTGGGGCTGGGGCTTACTGATAGATAGCACACTTGCCTGGCATGTATGAGGCACTAAGTTTGATTCTCAGCACTGCATATAAACAAACAAATAAATAAATGTCTATCAACAACTACAAAAAAAATAGCTAGGGGGAATTGGTCTTGGGGAAGAGGTTGGTGATTATGAACCTGAGTCCCTCAGTCATTTTACCTTCTTCCTGGAGCTTCTGCTGGGTCATTGCCTTTGAGGGAAAGCCTGAGCAAGATATTTCCACCATAAAAGACTGTCACTATCAAGGGCAAAATAGATCTGTTGAATTCGGTTTTATTATTTATTAGATTGGAAACTAGTTTTCTCTGGGACAGATCTTAGGGCCACTGCTGCAATTGTGAGGAGAAAGCACCAAATCAAAGCTTTCATGGAATAGAAACAGGGTGATTGCATGGAAAGATGGGCCAAAGCTCTGTTCCTGTTCTCTTGGTAGGCTGGAGTACAGAGAAAATGTTTAGAAAAAATTACCTTGTAGTGAGGGTTATAGGTGATTTAAATGTTGTTGTTTGCAATAGTTTTCATATTTTTATGCTATATATATACCTGTACTAATTTACTTGATTTGCGGTGTGTACCTATATGACTTTTTAAGAACAGGTTTACTGAAATATGATTATCATAACTTCCACATTACCATTGAAAGTGTATAGTAGGTTTTTTAACCATCACCACAATTTAGAACATTCTGTCACCCCCCCCCCCCCCCAAAGAATCTCTGTGCCTGTTAACAGCAACTTTCTATTTATTTTACCCCCACCCTTAGGCAATCGCCAATCTATTTTCTATTTCTATAGTTTAGCCTGTTCTGGGTATTTTAAATGAATGGAATCATAAAATGTGTGTGTGTGTGTGTGGTGCTGGGGATTGAACCCTGGACCTCATGCATGCTAGGCAAGCACCTTGCCACTGAGCTATATCCCCAACTCTTCTGTGGTTGTTTTTGATTGGTTCTTTTCACTTACTATGATATGTTCAAGTTTGTCCATGCCATAACATGTATCAGCCATTTCATTCCTTTTTATTGTTGCACAATATTCCATTGTGTAGATAAACCACGTTTTGTTTATCCATCAGTTGGTGGACATTGGGTTCTTTCATGTGGTTATAAATAATACTGCTATGAACTTTTGTGTACAATTTTTTATGTGTATATGTTTCTTTTCGCTACATAAGTCACATGGTAACTTTAACATTTTGAGGAGCTGTCTCACTTTCAAAGTGACTACGTCATTTTATGTTCCCACTAGCAAGGAATGAGGGTTTCATGTTTCTCAACATCCTTGCCAACACTTCTTACTATATTTCTTTTTATTATCAGTCATCCTAGTGGCTATGAAGTAGTATCTTATTGTGGTAACTCTATGACTTTTTAAATTAAAAACATTGTAAAATGTTATTAAAGACCCAGTGAAATGAAGGACTTGGTAAGTGAGCCTAATTTGTGTATTAAAAGCATATGCCTATGATTCAATGAGAAAAAAGTTTAACATCTGTCTAATCCCTTGGCAATTTCATTTCAGGTGGCCTCGATGCAGTTTATTAATATTGTAGTTCATTCAGTAGAAGATATGAACTTCAGAGTTCACCTCCAATATGAATTCACCAAATTAGGCCTGGATGAGTATTTGGATGTGAGTAAAGCTATAACCTTTGGCTTCAGTGTAAGAATTGATTTATTGCTTACCCTCGGTGCACTTCCATAGTGGCTAAGGAATGCTTAAAGCTCTGCATAGTCAACTACTGTCGTATAGTTAAAAGGAACCAATCCAAGTGATGCAATCTGCCAGAGAAACTGGATTCTTGTAGACCTTCTGGGACCTCTGGCAGTCTTTTGCCAGCAGCCTTTTAGTACAGGAGCCAGATGACCTCTTGCAGTCCGGCTGCAGCTTGCCTGTGTTTGTGAGCTCAAGTCTGGGTCAAGTCTCATTGCATCACTCACCCAACTGCTGCACAGTTTGCATTCTTGGTTACTCTGAGGGCCTCATCTAGGCAGGGAAAATCAAACCAAGACTGCTGTAGAGTGAAGAGAAATGCTCGGAGGATAAATAATGAGGAAATGAAGACTAGAAACTTCCTCCTGAAGCTGTTAATTTTTGCTTGAAGGGTTTGTGGCTTTAGAAGTTCCACTTTTGGGTTTTGGGAGAGGGGTGTTTAATTTCTCTTTTCCAGGTTTCCTTGCAGAAGTGCTCAGCTAGTTCCCTGAAGTTCTTCAGTTAAGAAACTGAAAGTTGATGTTCAAATCATAAATGGACATGAGAATCTATGCATGCGAAGCATGTCCTTTGACTCCTAGACAGTTTTATTTTTCTTTCCATATAGGAATTGTCCAGTTGAATTTGGAAGATTGGGCAGGAATTGCTGACCTCAATTTCAAGGCTGTTTCTAGCTATAGAGATGATAGGAGCTCTTCCCTTGGACAACTGTGATATTTAGCTATCCATCTTCATGAGGGATGAAGTTGAGATTTCAAGCACTGTCTTTTCACAGCACTGGGAGGGAAAAATCACAGAGATGGTTACACTTGACCTGAGGGGCCTTGCTCACCAGAGCAACCAAGCTACCCTGGAGTAGACTGTCCTAATGTCTAAAGTCTCTACTCAGGGAGAGACACAATGGATTTCCATTAAAGACATGTTGGAATTATTTTCCTATAATTTAAAGACCCACCGATGCCATTTTTGGAATATTGTATTTAAAGGAATTTTTTATGTATTGATGTTGAAGTTTATCTGTCCTCTTTCCTCATATGTTCAGAGCAACAGTATTTGAACAAAAATTGGGCACATAAATTCCTAATGGTTTTCTGGGTTTGGCTTTGTGATATCTTGCTTTATACTCCAATGTGTAATGGCAGGTTGGTGACCTATCAGTGAATACCTATTATTCATTGTGAATCTTGTGAAAAATCACAAGAAATTTCTTCACCATTTTCATCATTTTCTGTTCTGGCCTTTGTTTTGAACTGTGGTGGAACATACCCTCTTTCAAAATAAGCTAAATTGTAGGTTAGAACCTAGCAGAAAACCCATTTTTCCAAGAATTTACATGAAGTGGAATTCCTCTTAAAATTTTTAAATTTTATCAGAATTCTATTTCTTGAACTTTGTAAGTATATTGGTTCTGCACTCTAATAGATAGAGGTAGTTAGAAAAGTAATATGATGAATACATAACATATAAATACCATATTAGTTTACAGAAGCAGCTTTGCATGTAGTCTTTGATTTGTTCAAAAATGCTATTGGCATTATCCATGTGCCAGATATTATTCAAGCCACTCATTTATCCTCAGGAAAATTCATACTAATGTTTCTTGTAGAGAAGATTCATTGATTTTTTTGGCCTTCTCTGAGGCAAGTTTATCTTTGTAGTATCTGAATTCCTTCAGGATCCCTGATCAGGGATACAGTGAACTGGGGAAAGCTTTCTGATCTGTGCTTTGGAAGCCCTGAGCTGTTGATGTGGGGCACTGCCTTAGGGAAGCATTCATGAAGAGTGAGCTCTAGAAATTTGCACTAAAATAAACCCAAGATTTGGGCTAGGATTGTGGCTCAGTGGCAGAGCACTTGCCTGATGAAGCACTGAGTTTGATCTTCAGCACCACATAAAAATGAATAAAATAAAGGTATTGTGTCCATCTACAACTTAAATTAAAAAATAAATAAACCCAAGGTTAATGCCCAAGTCACCTCCTGTATAACTGTGTCCCACCTGGGTCCACCATCACTATCCAGGCAAGGTGCACCTACTACAATCTCCTCTACTACCCCAACACCCCTTTAAGTTTTATGTTGCTTCTGACCGTTCCCTCTCAAAGCTACTTTTAGTTCTTCTGTTTTCTTGATTTCACATATATCAAATTGTTTTAGATATAAATATAAATATATAAAGATATAAATATAACTACATGGGGTAGGAAGTATTGGGGGGAAAATCGTGTATGTAAATACACACATGTAAATATGTATATTTTATATATTTATATTTACATGTGTGCACATTAAATATTTACATAGTTATGTAAATATTTGATGGGTAAGAAACCAATCTGATCCTACCTTCTTAAATAGTCACTTCATCATTGTCTTAAGGAGGATGATGTCTTAAACCTTTTGGAAAAGGCTGGACTTTGGGAAGAAAGAAACCTTGTAGACGGTTGGGTAAGTATGTTCTGTTTCTAAAGATAAGCTAATGTCACCTCTCAAATTCTGATTTTTAGAAGCTGAAACACACAGAGAGTGACAAGCTGCAAGTACAGATTCAGGCTTACCTGGACAATGTGTTTGACGTAGGAGCTCTGCTGGAAGATGCAGAAACCAAGAATGCAGCCTTGGAGAGGGTGGAAGAACTGGAAGAAAACATCTCTCATGTAACTACATCTCAGAAAACGGAAAATTGCTGGCATTCCCTCTGGGTGCAAAGTAGAACTAACATACACTTTTGTGGCAGTAACTTAAAAGAATAAGAGTCTAGAAATGAGCTGTGACTGGGTTAGAGAATTATCATAAACCATTCTGGGCTCTTTCAAAGAAGGCAGATGTGTTACTGAAAGCAAAATGGAACTCCTTTCTTTGCCTCAGCTGACCTACCTCTCAGGACTGCAAAATAAATTGCTTGTCCTGACAATCAGTTACAGGCACAGGAGGATTGAATCACTGGCATTACCTAAGGGATTAGAGGGGAATGAAATATGGGAATTTGGCATGAGATGAATAAGTATTTTTTGAACATTAGCCACCTTCTTCTCAAAATGTCCACACAGTCCCATAGAGATAATTAAATAGTGTCTTTTGATGCTTATCTAAATATTCCTGTCTTAATCACTTAATAGTTTCATTTTAGCAGTAGACGTTTTTAAGGAAATCAGTGAGCTCTCCCAAATATCATCTTCGTTGAGGAAGACTATCCTCTCAGAACAGTGTCATCTCTATATTGGGGTAGTGATCTGATCTTCTGTGTGTGTGTAGGACGGGGGATTGACTAGGGACACTTCACCTCTCAGCTACATCCCCAGATCTTTTGATTTTGAGACAGGCTCTCACTAAGTTGCTGGGGCAGGCCTCGAACTTGTGATCCTCCTACCACAGACCAAGTAGAATAAGAGTCTTAACAGTCTTCAGAGGTTGTTTATTTGTTCATTAAACAAATATTTCAGAGAGTACAAGAACAAACAGAGAAACCCAAGAATTTTGAACCAAATTTTTGGCCTGAATTGATTACCACTTTTCTTTGTTGTGAAGTGAATTGTCCCCATTTGGGGGAATATTATTTTGCCCTTTGAACAACCCACATATTTCTCCCCATATTTTATTTTTAAGTACTGGGTGTGTGTCATTTCCTTTGCCTTTTACCATTACTTTGAAAATGGGCATCTACCTGGCTTGTGCTGAGCCCCCAACTCTCCTTTTGTAAATACTACAGTGAGCTAGTTGGCGTTTACCAAACAGTTTAAAAGCCCAGTATCTCTCCCCTTAAGAGATTTGTATTTTGTTCTGAGCCTGATTAGTGTAAATCTCACTCTTCCTCTTTACATTTTCTCTATGATTTCCTTTACTTACTGATCATTTTTAGTAAGATGTAAGAAATCAAAAGTTGCTTAATCATACAGCTGTGTGCAGAAAGCTCCTTTTAAGTAAATAGTGCATGTTCTTTCTCCCCCGCTGCCCCCCACCATCTCTTATTCAGCCTCAGCTAGTAAGACCATAGAGTCTACTTTGTAGCAGGCCATCTTTATTTGAATGGCTCCTCCAAATAGCTTTTATTAGTTGAATAATTTGTGTTCAAACAATCTGTAGTGCTTTTTTTTTTTTCAAACTACATCAACAATATTCAAAAGCTTTTACCTGACATCTCTTTCTTGGGGATGGGGATGACTCTCCTCCCTCACCTTACTGTTCTCAACCCTTGCTAGCTCCAAAGGATGGGAGGGAGACACATTGGATATTTAAACACTGAGGTTTTTATTAAAGATCATGTATAAATTATTCTTGGGAGAAACAAAAATATTTCCAGAACCATATTATAAATACTAACATTTCCATTAAACAATTTGTATAACACATGCAGGACTCTAAAGGGCCCCTAAAGGTCTTAGAGCTACACTTTCTGAGGTCTAAGGACCTGGTCTAAATGATCCTGTGTCGTGACACAGTTTCCTTTTCAACATTTTACAGTTATCTGAGAAACTGCAAGACACAGAAAATGAAGCCATGTCTAAGATTGTGGAACTGGAAAAGCAGCTCATGCAGAGGAACAAGGAACTGGATGTTGTGCGAGTAAGTGTAACGATGACAGTCCCCCAGGTGGAGTGATGGTAGATGTGGTCCAGCTTTGGGCTGGTTGAATGTGGGGCACGTTCATTTCAGAGGAAAGCATTGATGCAGCATGTTTATTCGGGCCATTTCAGAGGTGATCCTTCAATGGAAAGTACACGTAGTCAGAGTCTGTGTACACATGTGCATGTACTCATATACTGGAGGTTCAGGATTTCCTTATCACAGATTTTGGGAGCAACAGTTTTCACATTTGGAGGAGGATGAGTTGATTCTGAGGCTCACCCATTTAGAAGGAAATAAAAACATGGCATGGATTTAATTCATGCCACTTATTTATTTTTATTAGGACTTGGACTTCATTGTATTCCTTTACTTTGCTTCTACTCAGAACTGGGTTTGGTGGTTGCTGTGGAAACCGTGAATCACAGCACAGGCTAGACCTGGTGACATTCACCAAGAAAAAAAAGGAAAAAGCAAAGCCAATTCATTTTATTATCAGATAATCCCAGTTATTTGATTTGGCCGTAGCATTGTTTTACCTTACATGTCAGGTATTTATGGAGTGCCATCCGTGTGCTTGGGATTGTGCAGAACATAAAAGCACCAACATGCCTGGAGGGGGTTTGGGCAAATGGCTTGCCCTTACACCACTGTTTAATGCAGCAGCACATTTTATGTGATGGTTATCATGTCTGTGTGTGTTGCCTGATATTCTGACATGTCCTTTAGTTAACTCTGGAAATTTATTTTCTGGCACACCATCGAGACAAAGTTGTAGCATATGGACTCAATTCAAAGTTCAGACTCTTAGATTATTAATAATAGACAGGGTGTGAAGAATGTTTCCCTGCCTGCTGGAGGTTTGTGGTGAGAGAGCACATGTGCAAGGCCCAGCAAGTAAGTTCAATTCCATAAAACTCCTTTCACTGGAACTTCTATGGGCCCCTAATAAAAGAAACCAGGGCAGCCTTTGAATTGAAAATTGTAACTTCTTTGTTTTCTGCTAAAAACCTACACAGAAATAAGTAATTAGTGGAGGGAAGCTCAGGCCTGTTTTGTTAACTGCATTACCAAAAGGAAAACGTTACAACAATTGCTGTCCTGAGATTGGTCAAGGGGGCATTATGAGGGCCAGAGAAACCCATTCAAGAACAGTCAGCCCCTGGTTACTCATGAATAGATTAGTCTATGCTTTGTGGATTTTTAATCCTAGTCTGACTTCTATCCAAGTCTGATTTAGGGCCCTTTGTTTATGATTAGCTGATATGCGTACCTCAGAGTTACAGATGGATTTGAAAATTAGTGAAAGGAAAACATGCCACATCAGCAGAACATTTCAAAGTCAGCTTTTGGGAATAAAAGTCATCTCTGCTCTCTTCCTTTCCCCCTGCAGGGAAAATTGAGTTAGCAGGATTCATTAAATGGAAAGAACTTAATTAGCAATAACAGTTGCTGGAGTATATTGCATGTACCAGTAGTATAATTCATAATTAGTGGGACCATATAAGTTCTGGCTGAATTTCATAGAACTTTTATTCATATTCAGTGTCCTTTTTTCTCTCTTTTTAGTTAATTCCTTTATCCTCAATATGCCAATCTGATGGTCATAAATGTGAATGTCATGCGGAGACAAACTCTTAGCCATGAACTCTTTTGCAGGAAATTTACAAAGATGCAAATACCCAAGTTCACACATTAAGAAAAATGGTTAAAGAAAAAGAAGAAGCCATTCAAAGACAGTCTACCCTGGAAAAAAAGATTCATGAACTGGAGAAACAAGGGACCATTAAAATTCAGAAGAAAGGGGATGGGGATATTGCTATATTGCCAGTTGTGGCTTCTGGCACAATGTCCATGGGGTCAGATGCAGCACCGGGTAACTTTGTGGGACCAGTTTCAGGGGCTGCCTCCTCGGGACCCTTGCCTCCTCCTCCCCCGCCACTACCTCTATCATCAGACACACCTGAAGCAGGTAAGAAGCCATGTGGGAGAACTAAGTTTATACAATCAGGTTATCTGTGTTTCTTCTTTTACTAGTTGTCCATTTTTGTCCTTTGCTTTTGTTGGCACATTGTTTTACTGATTTTAAGAACTATTTGTTTTGAGATTAAGGTTATAAATCTTCATTTCACTTATATTCAAGTATTTCCCCATTTGTTGATAAGGAAGTTTATGGTTTTGGAAAGCAAACCTTTATCATTTTAAGTGTTTTTATATTGTCTCTATGCACAACATGTTGCAGGAAGACCATTTTTGTTTTCAAAGTCAATTGGTTTCTTTTCTTCTAGTGCAAAATGGCCCAGTAACACCACCTATGCCTCCGCCTCCTCCGCCTCCACCTCCCCCACCTCCTCCTCCTCCCCCGCCCCCACCTCCTCCTCTCCCTGGTCCTGCAGCAGAGACTGTGCCAGCTCCTCCTCTGCCACCACCCCCTCCTCCCTCTGCACCCCCGCTGCCTGGAACATCTTCACCCACAGTGGTTTTCAACTCAGGATTAGCAGGTAAGAGCACATAATTAAAACCAGGGTATTCATGTAAGAAGTGCTCATTTGCCCACCTCCAGAGATTTAAAGCCTTTCTTTCAAAGATAGGTCTTTTGTAATGACATGGACCTTCTCTTAGTAAAAGAACATTTCTGGTAGTGTAGCTGAAATTAGTCATACATGGGCAGCATTGGCCTTTGTGTGGCCTTTATCACACTCTTCCTTAGCAGGAGGTTCTGATCTCTCACCTCATCTTCCCACCTTCAACTGAAAGAAGAGAGACAACTTGCCTTCATAAGGACCAGTGCATTTTTGCGAGTTCAGCAAACACTTCTTAAACACTTGTAGTGGTTAAAGCAAAGAGTTTAAGTGTTTCTGATTCTTTTTCATTTTTAAGAAATTTGAAATGTCATATATAAAATGGAAAAATGCCTTTATGTGTAATTGACTGACACAGGCTTCCACGCATGTCTTCTGAGCATTTAAGGAGATCAGAATTTGCAGAAGCAGATTAAACTTCAAGGGGAAGTGCTGCCAACAACAGTGCCTTGAAAGGCTTCTTCATAATAACTCTTGCTGTCCTGCTAACTAGGAGATGGAGTGTAGCACCTGGCTCACCAGAAATAACCAGGGGCTGGCCAGTGAGAGGAGGGCATTACTTTAATTATTTGATATAAGTTTTTATTTTTGACTCTTGGAAATGAATTTCTGTTCTGTCTATAATGCTACAAGCAGTCTCCCAGACATTCAGGACTGCTCTGAGGTTGCCATCCTTTGTTGTTGGGTAACTGTTTCCTCATTCACTCTAGTCTGTTTATGAATTCTCCTATTTGCTGTGAACAACTGCTCTATCAGCCTCCACTTCTGAGGCTGCAGTAGTTTTCAGAGACTTTTGCCTGAGGTCTGAAAGATAGTCTTGGCTATAAAGATGTCCTATTCTCTATCCCTTCAAGGGTGCCATCAGCAGCTTTACCAGCCAGTTAGTAGGGCTAATTGGCTCTAGTGACTGGAGCCCTTGTAGACACCTGAAAGCTGCTCTTACCACATTCGTTCTACCTCAGATCCATGATGTTACTTCCATCTAGACTTCTATTAAACTGCCTAGCACACAAACAAATTGCCATTTAGAGTAATGTTCATAGTATATTGGTGGTTTATTTCTACCCTTCAAGGTCCTCCCATCTACCACTTTCTTCTAGACCTTTTATTGCTTCTGAAGAGAAAAGTTGGAGGAATGTCTTCGTGGAACTGTTGGATTGTGGAATGTAAATAAACAAACCTCATAACAAGCCTTGGGAATCCATTCCATCACCAGGCTGTTCTCAGTGATCAAGTGTGGAAACCCCTAATTGTCCCGTGCACCTGGGCTCCCTGATTAGTTTTCCTTATAGTCCCTGAGGAGCACTCACTGTGTGATGTGTCTGCCGTGATGTTTCATTTGGAACTGCTTCTTTCTCCCTGGCAAAAGCTAATGTGTGATTCAGCATCCACTTCCATTCACCTGAGCCCTAACACAGAATTCAGATCTGCCTTGGCAGGTGATAGCCAGAGGCTAAAGTGTGTAGGTCTGGGGCTTCCTTCTGAAGAAGCATGTCCTGCCTGGTTATTGTTATTTTTTTTTAAATTTCCTTCCCCTCCCCCCGCCCCGGGTACTTTGCACCACTTCATTTTAAAAATTAGTTTGTTCTTTTGATTACTTCAAGTTTAAGGTGTAGATCTCTGTGCTCAGCTGAAAACCAGATGCTGCCTTCAGGTTTACCATAGTTGGAAGTTGTCCCATTGTATCTTATGCCCTTTAGAAGACTATAAGTGAGATTGAAGTAATTCCTTTTTAGTTCCATACCATTGTTCAGTGATTATAAGAGACATTCTGTCTTACAAGATGTAAGGATTACAAGATCTTATGAGTCTTTGATAGCTTGAGATTGGGCATTTTCTGCAAAGCCTTTAATCTCTTTACTATTCATTTTTAGTTTGGTTTTCGGTAGTGATTAAAGCCAGTCTTGTGAGATGTTTTACCAGTGTGTTCAGTAGCTCTGTCTCTGGAACCAAGAGGCCAGACAAATTCAGAGTGTCCCAAGAGAACTAGTGACAGAGCTGAGCTGATATGCCCAGGGCTCCCATGAAGTCAGAGACCTGTGATGTCATTGAACCTCTAGATCCACAAGTGACAGAATCTCTTTATCTCTTAAATGCATACTATATTCTTGGTTGTCACAACATGGGACCAGGAGGAAGTTCACATAGTTTATCTCTAGAGTTTTCTTTCTTTTATAAAGAAGATATTAGTATTGTGAAATAGGCATTTAAAGTATAAGGCTTACTTCCTCAAGACTATGATGGAACAATCTTGCTCCCTTTCCTGGGGTAGGTCACCTGTGATGGACTGCTGGGCAGCCTGTGACCTTTGTTGTCTTTGGAAAGATGTGCTTAGATCCTCTCAATGAGCAGTTGGACCTTGGATGTTTATTTTTTATTAAATTGTTCAAATCCTATGAAATACCTAACATAGTTCAGTATGGCTGTTTGGGACCACTACAATGAAATAAACATTTTCTTTCCCTCCTCTTAAAATGACTAAAAAAAGAAAAAACACAAAACAAAATAATACATCTTCAAGGCAGTCCTGAATGGAAATGAATTTTTGGCTCCACGCTGCCTTGTGAAGTGTGTCCAAGAAGCATGAAATTCTATGCTAAGAGTGCGTGAACCACTGAGCCACTTGACTCTAACCATATCTAATTTTTTTTTTTTTATTTTCTCTATTCTCTCTGCTTCCACAAAAGATGGGCCAATCAAGCTTTTCTGTAGGTTGCTCCTCACCGAGTGTGTTGAGTATCTGCCATGTGTTCCTGTTGGTCGCACTGTGCCTTGACATCTTTCCACTCCATCTTACTTTGACCCATTGCATTTTGACATTGCATCTGCGGGAAGTCTGGGTGTTGGCTGACTGTTACTCCAGGTCTGCCCACACATTTCAGTTGAACCTGTAGAAGACATGATTGTCCTGTAGGCAGGAATCCTGGATTCATATGCCACATTTCTTTTCCTCCAAGAAAAGGAATGTTCTTTTCTTTTTGTTTAATTGTCATAGTTGGGTCCAATACAGACTCTAAAAGGATTTTAGATTTATTCTAAGGAAACATGGAGAATAAGTAGAAGCTACTGGGTGCCCCTTTCCAGTGCCCTCTCACTCGTCCCATGGCTCACTTGGTGGAACATCCATCCATTCAGAGCCACTTTCTTTGGTCTGTACCCTGGGGATGCAGTGTATATCATGGTCACCTGTATACCCTCCTGCTCTTCCCCAACTCCATCCCCAAAGTCAGAAAACTTGCCCCAGAGCTTTCTTGCCTGTGTTCTGATCTTGGGCATGTTCTTTATCTGGCTAAAGAGTCACAAGAAGGGAGACTGCAAATAGAATAACAGGTAGTGAATGGCCTAAGCCTGTAGTATCTGTGGAGGAAAGGTAGAAAGCAATGGCACCAGCCTGTCACCTCCCTTTGAAAGGAGTCCCTACTGTTCCTTCCCACATCTCCCCCCACCCCCCAGTGGTCTCCTTCTGCCCACATTGCTAAAGTGGCGGCCTAGAGTAGGGTATGTTCCTTTGTCCCACAGAGGATCCAGTTTTCATGGGTAGTGTGGACACAAGTGAAGTGTAAGGAGGACTCTGACACACCTGGGGGTGAGGGTGCCATGTTTGGTGGAAAGTCCTGGTTGGCAGAAGCTGTGTCTCTGTGTTCTTGCATGCTTCTGTGTGCATTTATCAGATGAATTCCTGCTCTTCCTATGGCCTTCATAACTCTGGAGGAATGAGAGGCACTATCAATCTCCCTTTTTCAGTAAACATAAACTGAGGCAGGCAGGTAGACATCCAGTAAACACTTGGGTGTGTTTGGCTTTTTTTCTGCATTGAGGTGCAAGTTCTCCTTCCCTCCCTTGCTAATAATGGCAAAGAGTGAAACTCACAAATAGTTCCTTGGGCTACAGAGTGGTGCACAGAATGTATATAAGTAGTATAGGAAGACTTCCTTATGATGTAGAATTAAAATAGCATTTTGAATGGATTACTTTTTTTTTTTTTTAAGCTCATTCCTTAAAGTGAGTAGAGTTGGCACTTCCCTTAGGTCCCTGAAAGAGAATCCCATCCTCTCAACTAAGAGACTTCATTGATGACACCTAGTAAAATATAGCTGACTCCTAGTGAGAACTTGCTTATTAAAAAGAGGGAGAAGGTGCTGTGGCCATCTGTGAGCAGCAACACAATTTTGTGTTTTCTAAGTACCCCTTCTGTCTTCTTAGACATTTTCTGATTTAGGCCATTCATGGTCCCTTATCTTTTGGAAATAACTCAGCAGCCAGTATAATCTATTACTGAAGTCACCCATAGGAATGTATCCCCCTGGCTGAAAGTTAGCTTTCTTGGTGTGTCATGTTCCTGGTGGTTTAGACAGTCTCTGATCATCCTTTAAGGTTTATTTATAAATATGTATTCTAGAAGTAAGAATTTAGGATGTCAGAACTCGACAGGATTTGTCCTCTCTGCTGTCTAATAACAATAATAATTTTTGCTTTCTCTAGCATTTTGTCTTAAGATTGTCCTAATACCATAACTATAAAGGAGCAATCCAGTTTCCTGAATAAAAATAAACAAAACCCCAAATCTTGGTCCTAAAGACAGCTTTTAAGACATTCAACCAAATGAGTTTTTGAATGGCTCTGGCCAAGGCTATATGTAATCTTTTCCACATTTAAAAACATGTGGACTGGGAAAGGTGGCACATACACATAATACCAGTTATTCGAGAAACTGAGGAAGGAAAAAAATCACAAATTTGAGGCCAGTCCAGAAAATGTAGCAGGAATCTTATCTCAAAATAATAAAGTAATAATAATTTTTTTAAAAGGCTGTTGTTGCAGCTTAATGGTGGAGCTCTTGCCTGTATCGCACAAGGCTCTGGGTTCGTAACAAGAAACAAAATTTTTGGGTGCCTCTTGCTAACCTTCCTCCAGTGTTAAAGTGTCATCTGTAGAGACTGTTGTCTAATCATTTCTGAGGATTACGGAGTCTTGGATCTTAATTTCATTCTCTTTGACATCTTTAGCTGTGAAAATTAAGAAACCAATCAAGACAAAGTTCAGAATGCCGGTGTTTAACTGGGTTGCTCTGAAGCCCAATCAGATCAATGGCACAGTCTTCAATGAAATTGATGATGAGCGAATTCTGGAGGTATTTTTTCTCATTGGTTAGAAGCTAGAGGGGTGCTCTCCGTAGAACAAAGCTAAAATGGGTGCTCTGTTAATCTGCAGGTTTTGCTACTAAAGTATGTTGTTTTTTGTCTTAAGATTGTCCTAATACCATAATTATAAAAGAGCAATTGTACAAAAGAAGCAGATACTTTAGTACTATCAAAGAATAGCATTTGATACTATTTTATAAAGCAGTTCTAATACTAGATTTGTAAAATTAAGTTAAAATGCAATAAAAATGCAGTGAGTAGTTTTGAGTAGTTTCAGTATATGCCACAAAATTTGTATGTCACTGTCCCATGTATTAATTTATAAAAGGGCATAAACATCCTTTATTGAACTAGATAGATTAAGGACTCAATTCTCACACTTACTGCCTGGTTTGATGACTAGTTTTAGTCTGTGACAGCTGTCTATGCTAGCTCATTATTTAAAGCAATTGAATCGGCTCGTCGGAATTAGTAGTGTACTTTGGACATCACTTTTATCTCTGTGTTAGAAGTTGCTCTCTAAAAAAACCAGAAAAATAGAGATAGTATTTTAGTTAGCTTTTTTGCTCTTATGACTAAACCGATCTGACCAGAACAATTTTAGGAGGAAAGGTTTATTTTAGGGCTCACGGTTTCAGAGGTCCTAGTCCATAGAAGGCTGACTCCATTCCTCGGGGTTCCAGGTGAGACTGAACATCATTGCAGGAGAGTGTAGCAGAGGGAAGCAGCTCACATGATGATCAGGAAGCAGAGAGAGAAGTCTCAACAGGCCAGATACAAATATATGTACCCAAAGCCATGGCCCAATTCCCACCTCCTCTAGCCACACCCCACCACTTCAGTTACCACTCAATTAATCCCTATCAGGGGATTAAATCATTGATTGGGTTAAGACTCCTACAACCCAATCATTTCTCCTCTGAACCTTCTGCATTGTCTCACACGTGAGCTTTTGGGGGATACCTCATATCCAAAACATAACAGGTAGCCATGGCCAAGGACAAGTAATTAATAAGAAAATAAGGTCTTTGCTTAACTAATTGTCTAAATGGTGGTTGAATGAATTAATTTTTAAGTATAATCCAGTTTTCCAATGTTATCCTTCTGTATCCCAGGATTTAAATGTAGATGAATTTGAGGAAATATTCAAGACAAAGGCACAAGGTCCTGCCATTGATCTTTCTTCAAGCAAGCAGAAGATAACACAGAAGGGATCAAACAAAGTGACATTACTAGAAGCAAATAGGGCCAAAAACCTTGCCATAACTTTAAGGAAAGCTGGAAAGACTGCCGATGAGATATGTAAAGCAATTCATGTGTAAGTTTGGAGCATTCTAGAAAATTATATCTTAGTAAGTTTAGAATAAAAATGAAAATAAGATAGTTATGAATTAGTAGAGACAGAGATATTTCAGTAGTGGAGCAAGAACTAAGACAATGGAGCCATTTTTGATGTCCACACTTAGAAGATTCTCCTTATTACATGTCCTACTGCAGAGCTGAGTAAGATGCCAACACTCGAGAGGTGGACCAGAAGTTCCCTGAGGAAATGCTGTGTTTGAAGGAGTAATTAATTGTTTTAGAAGAATAACATCTGGATTGTGGCATCATTTATCGTCTTGGTCTGCTCTCTTATATAGGCCTACAGCAGTGCTTACATAAAAGGAAAGTTGGGCTGAGTGTTGCAGATGTTAAGAGGAGGGAGAAATGTCAGTTTTCTCTGGAGTATCTGGATTTTATCCATATTTGTTGAATATAAATTTGATGGCATTTGTGGAATGATGTAGTTCAATGCCAGATGCAAATATGATACAGATGCATATTTTAATTCCTAATAATAGGAATGTGAATTCTGTTGCTCTTAGTATTTTCAGGACATTTTTTGTTTGTTTGTTTGTTTTTAATTTTGAGCTGTATAAAAGGCATTGATTTTGTTTATTTCTCTACTGGAAGAATCTTTCTACTCTTCTTGTGGCTGTGTAAGGATATTATTAAATGTTTTAGGAAATAATTCTTCACAAATTGGTACTGTATACATTTTGATTAGAAACTATTATAGGAGCACATGATCCTAATAGATCATTTGCTCTGATTTTATGTTTTTGCCAGAGTGCCTTTAACAGTCTGTTTTGATTTGAAACCTGTTATGTAGTCTGTGTCTTTTTTTTATTAGTTCATTTTAATTATACGAAATAATGTGTTTATTGTGACATATTTGTACATGTAAATAGTAAGTTTTTCTTGATATACCTTGTTTGTCACAAATGATTTAAATGTAATTATGTTGCTGAACAATGAATGTCCAGAATTAGGCTTGGTGGCACACACCTGTAATCCCAGCTACTCAGAAAGCTGAGACAGAAGGATTGCAAGTTCAAAGCCAGTTGTGGAAATTTAACAATTTCCTACTGCTGTAGGTCTATATAAGAGAGCAGACTAAGACAATAAATGATGCCACAATCCAGATGTTTTTATTTTTATCAACATAAAAAGGACTGGGGATACAGCTTTGTGTTAGATGTACATGGCCTGGATTCAGTCCCTAGTACTGAGAAAGGAAAAACAAAACAAAAAGCCAAGAAAAGATTGTCTATGAAATAAAATATTTCATTTGCTCAAATTGAGCATATATATACAAAGATGTGGCATTCCTTCAAGGAATACATGTCCTTCAAGGTGTGTATTCTGGTCCTCAGAAGATCATGGTCAGTTCCATACATAGTTGTCCCTCAGTACCTATGGAGGATAGGTTCCAGGACTCCTGTGGACACCAAAAACATCCATATAGTATAGACATTTGTATGCACGTTTTTGCACCAAAGAAAAGTGTAACCCTAGACCATTGGCTTAGTTTGAATATTTTATAGAACTCACCAGATGTTCTGTAAATATATGTATAGTGTTAACCTCTTTAATTTGTGGTACTTCTCTATGTTGAAAAACCATGTCCTTGAACCACTTAACCATGCTTTGGTCTTGATTCTACCTTCTTCTATTGTCATTTGCTCTTGACTTCCTGAGGCTTAGAGCCACTCCAGGGTTCTAAGCAAACAGCTCTAAAATCTGAGGATGGCAGCTATGACACAGTGCAGATTTTCAGAAAGGACCATTAGGGTACCCGATGCCTAGGAGCCAGTGCCAAGGTAGGGATCACAGTGCAACTTTGGGCGTCTGAGGCTTACTGAGTTGGTAGTGGATGAGCTGGACTGGATAGAGGTATAGAGGAAAGAGTAGGTTTTTTCTCTCTAACATTGACCTGTCCATGTTCTTTTCAGATTTGACTTGAAAACACTGCCTGTAGACTTTGTAGAGTGTTTGATGAGGTTCTTGCCAACTGAGAATGAGGTAAAAGTGCTTCGGCTCTATGAACGGGAAAGGAAGCCCCTGGAGAACTTGTCGGATGAAGACCGTTTCATGATGCAGTTCAGTAAGATCGAGAGGCTCCTACAGAAGATGACCATCATGGCCTTCATTGGGAACTTTGCTGAAAGCATTCAGATGTTGACTCCTGTGAGTAGGCTAGTTTGGAGGGCAAAGAGAGTGTTTGTTTTTTTCTTTTCCTTTTTTTTTTTAAGCATCTCTTCTGCAATTGCACTCAATATAACAGACTCTAAAGAACTTACTAGATTGATATTTTATTTTTGCCATCTTTTTTACATATGTATGCAAAGTACATTGAAAAATGGTGAAGTTCCATCTTCTGTGTTGCTGTTCTCCCAAGTCAGTGCCATTTTCTGTGTCTGTAGATGTCTTCTGAATTTTAGAAGACACTGCAGAGGAAAAGGAAAATGATTTTCTCAAACTTGGTTGCCTCCTTAAGATAATAGTCCTTTGGCTGTGTTGGCGTTTCTTTAAAAAAAAAAAATCCCGTATCTTTAGTGAGCAGGCTTATAAGCTTTTATCAGAGCATTACATTTGCCATAGGAGTTTGCTTCCTTTGTAACAGTAGTCTGTGGTGATGTGCAAATAATAGCCAGTTCTTTCTCATTCCCTGCGTTAATCTGGTTGAGACATGAATGTCATAAACTTCAGTTTGGGAAAAAAAAATTAACTTCAGTTTGTTCCCAGTTTCTAAATAAACTTTTGTTAGTTAGCACTTATAGTAGCAGGTCTGTTCAAAACTGTTAGGAGAACTTCTGGAAAGTATTATATAACCCCCATCTCCCATTCTTGGGCAGCTTCATTGATTTAAAAGCAAAAATTGTATATGATTAAAGATGGCAGGCAGGGAATTAAGTTTTGCCAGAAGAGGCTGTTGACTCCTGTTAACCAGTCTTATTGGTTGTAGACTGGTTACAAAGTTGGTGATTAAACAGTGTCTATATTGTTACTATGAATACTTTTAGAAAAGAGCTTGCATGTGATGATATGGTTACCTAGGATCTAGCTGGACAACTTAATTTGTTATGCTTAGGAAAAATAGAATCTAATCATTAAGACTTCAAGGTCAAAATGCAGGCCTGTTTTTTTTTTTTTTTTCCTATGCTAGTTTTTAGTTTCCAATTAATTTCCCATTTTTAACATGTCTTTTCTCTCCCACTTCCTTCCTTTGATTGGAATCTAGCAACTGCATGCAATTATAGCAGCATCTGTCTCTATAAAGTCATCCCAAAAACTCAAGAAAATTCTGGAGGCAAGTGAAGTTTTCTTGTATACATCTTTAGAGAGCTGACTGGTCAGCTTCCTTCTGGGGCCTGAGAAGCTGTCATGATTGGCTTCGATTTTCTTTTTCTTTTGCAGATCATCCTGGCCCTTGGAAATTATATGAATAGCAGTAAACGAGGAGCAGTTTACGGATTTAAACTTCAGAGTTTAGATTTGGTGAGTAAACTGGAAGAAATGTGAGGGCTGTGTGAAGGACAGACCGCTGGCAGAGATTTTCCAGGAGCAGGGGGTCTGCTGTTGGGAGTGGGTGGGAGGATTTGATGAATATTCTCTGCTAATGTGAGGGTCTGTTGGTATAGATTTTCTGGAACACCATTTGGCAAGAAGGACTTAAAACCTTAGAAATACATATACTCTTTTACTCAGTATTTCCATTTCTAGGAATCTTCCCTCAGGAGTCTGGATTATGAATGCTGTATTTTATTCTTAATTGCAAATAGTTAGCAATAAATAAAGTGTCCAGTATTGTGGGTAATGACTAAATGCTGGAAAAATAGTATAATAAACTATTCTCCAGCTGTGAGAATCCTTGTGAAGAATTTTCAGAGAAAAAAGATAATTTTGTGTATAGGAAACAAAGCAGAGTATAAATTGAGGTACAGTTTAATTCCAGCTACGTAAATACATAATATAAAAGACTGAATGAAAACGGATTAAAATATTAACAGAGATTGGATGGAATTAGGAAATGTTTTACAACTTTTTAAATCTTCTTTCTATTTTCTAGAAACAAAAAAATTTTTTTTTTGTCCTTCATCTGTGAAGATGATCTCCTTCTTTCAGTCACATGATTTATATGAACAGTATTAGAGAACATTCTCCCTGGAACCTTGTCCAGGCTGTGCAGGCCTATGTAGCTTCCATGTGACAAGGGAGGGCAATGGGCAGACTCCATGGCTGGCAGAGATGTGGTTATCTGACTGGAAGCGTCCAATCACAATCCTGGCCTTCAGAAGACCATGGTTAACATCACATAGAGTTGTCCCTCAATATCTGTGGAGAATTTTTTCTAGGACTCCTGTGGTTACCATAATCCCTAGATAGTTGAGTCCTTTCTATATAATGTGGTAGGATTTGTACATAATCTTAGAATGTCCCCCACTATACTCTAAATTACCTCTAGATAATTTATAATACATAACCATGAAAATGCTCTGTAAATAGTTATTATATTGTATTGTCTAAGGAATGACAACAAGAAAAATAGATACAGTGGCCTGGCTTTCTCTGTCTTAGGCCACCAGAAGCTCGGGAGTAAGAGGGGAACTGAGCAGAGTATCAAGGTTGCAGCATCAAAGCCCCTGTACACCTGCACTGGCCCCACCTGCCACTCAACTGAAATCCTCTCACTTTTAAGCCAGGAGAGGAGGGATAGTAGATGCTGGGTGGGGGATTCATGGATATTGGGTAAAACCCTAATGTTGAATAGGTACCCTGGTGAGGATGTCTTCAAGTCATTTAAATACCAGTGACGTGGTTCAATAAAGAATACATTGAATCTTGAATGTCCTCTGGGAATAATTTTTTCCAGCCTGTTGGGCAACTGTGCTCAGTTACTTTCTCTGGATGGGAAGTTACCTGGTGGGCGGCCCTCCCACCATCCTTGCTCTTGCACCTAACCCATGCCCCCTTTTGTTTTCAGCTCTTAGACACAAAGTCAACAGACCGAAAGCAAACGCTGTTGCACTATATATCGAATGTTGTAAAAGAAAAATATCACCAAGTGTCTCTATTCTATAATGAGCTTCATTATGTGGAAAAAGCTGCTGCAGGTACTAATTTCAGCTGTCAATGTTGCTCTTAGGTATTGAATGCCTTTAATTATGGAGGAACCACTCCTAAATAGACACTTCAGGACCCATTTAAAAAGGCAGGGCTAAGAAGTCAGAAGCTCTGAGCTGCCAAACACTCTGGGGATGGTGCTACTCACTCCCCAGAGCCATTGTGAAATGTGACCTTTCTCAGCATCCTGTCAGTAAAGATCCAGGTCTTGGAGGCCTGTGTACCTTCCCTTGTGCATGTCTTGCTCATTTTGTTCTTGTATAAGAGTGAGAATCTGAGAATCTGAGAACCCGCCCCCCCCCCACCAAAAAAAAAAAAAAAAAAAAAAACCCAAACCAAAAACAAACCAATAAAACCCCACTTTTAATTTATTTCAAGCCATTCCACTTGATCAGATGTGGCACTTTTAAACCTTTTGCCTTTGCCTGAACACTAAATTAGCAGTACTTTCTAGTTGCTCCTTTGTTATGGGTTAACATTTTCTTATTTCAATCACATGGATAGAAAGTGATAGCAACAGACTGGAACCTGTCTTTCTATTCCTTATATAGTATATTATGAGGAATATAATATACCATATTATATTAGTATGATGTTCTCTCAAGAGAGTATGTCATGTCATCTCAAAAGAGTATCATGTTTGAAAAAAGAGTGATATGCAAGTTGACCTTGGAATTAAATACTGATGGCAGTTTTCAACTTGTCATCTTCAACCTTCCTGAGGTCTACTCCAAAAAGTTTCCTACACTCAAACTATTAGGGCAAGGCCTTTTATGATGCCCCTAGACAGGCTAAATGGCTTTCATTTCTGTGAGCATTCTGTACTACCCTCTTGTTCAAGATTTATCAAATTTTATAACAGTTTGTATGTCCATTGCAACCTCAAGTTCTTAGGGGTGTAATCAGGCTTCATTGATCTTTATAATTCAGTCAGCCCCTGGCAGATTGGATGGTGGGAATAAATAAATGGGCAAATGTTGAATGAAATGGTACATGGCTGCCAGGATAGATGCTTCAGAAGCCCTAGTGGAAGCTAAGAGGCAGATGGAAATGATTTTTTGATTATGAAGAACAGGCTGGGACAGATCCATCAAGGCAGGTAGCAGAATTTATATTCTGCTGGAGAGGTTTCCCTTCTTTCAAGTTTTCCTTTGTCTAAATTTGGGTTCTTAAACATCTTAATTCCAATTAAGAAAAAAGTTAAGTAACAAATTCCTACCTACTAATTATTAGCGTACTTTGTTTAGCCCCAAAAGTGTCATTCGGAAAAAAAAAAAAAAGAAAGAAAGAAAACCAGTGGTTAAACTGTCCTGTTTGTTCTCTGGTGCCCAGGTGGGCTGACACACATTCTTTATATCTTCCTTTATATCTTCATCCTTCATTTATCCAGTACACACTTGAGGACCTTTTGTATATTTGGTGCTGTCAGCAGTATTAGGTACTCAAAGACAAACCAGTGTGAGTCTAGTGTGAGGGAAACAGCCTGCATTATGTATTCATCTATGTGCAGAGCAGAGTCAGGCAATGGGGAAACCAGAGGTGGGACCAACCTCCATGGGGAAGCTGACTTAGGAGGTTCCAGGAGTGTGTCCGCTCTGGACAGTAGCTTTATTGCAGATGGAAAAATTAAAGCTAAAACTTTCTGAAGTAAGAATGGATTCTTTAATAAAAACAAACAAATAAAAACTGTCCAAGGTTGCTTTGGGTCCTAGTGATCAGTTAACTGACCTTCAAGACAAAATGCTGCCCCCTTCTGGAGAACTATAGAAATGCAAAAGAGATAGAGAAGAAAAGATGTTTGGGCCTGTCCCAGACAAGGATCTCTAAGCCTTCAGGCCAACCAGTAGGCTGTTTCCTAGGAGAGAAATGGAGTAGTTATTTTGGAGTCCATGGTTGCTACCTGAGCTCCTTCTCTGCCATCTAGTAGCTGTGTGACTCAGGGTCTACCACAGATCTTTTTTTGCTGCTTTCTTATTGGCAAAATGGGCCTATGTTGCAACCGAATCAGTGCATGGAAGGAATTTATTATAGTACTCGATAGTGCTTTCTCAATTATTCATATTAAAGGATCTTTGTGCAAAAAACTGGGAACTAGATCCAAGGGCCCCAGTAAGATCCCTGAGATCCCTACTGAGAACTTGGTTGAGCAGGCGGACATGCAGTGGTTTTGACCCTCCTGGTGGAGGTTCATTGAAACCTTGCTTTCTCTGTTAGTCTCCCTGGAGAATGTTCTGCTAGATGTGAAGGAGCTGCAGAGGGGCATGGAGTTGACCAAGAGGGAGTACACCATGCACGACCACAACACACTACTGAAGGAGTTCATTTTCCACAATGAGGCGAAGCTGAAGAAGCTGCAGGATGATGCCAAGATTGCACAGGTAGTCCAAGTGCTGGACCCCCTGGGGCCACTTGTGGCACTGGTCCTGGGTTCAGGGAGAAATGCTCCATTTCTCTGCCTGCAGAGGGTAGATTTCTTATGTAGCTAATAATTATTAGAGGGGTATCTTTCCTAGGTTATTCCTGACATATCCTTGCCCTACTCATTGTGCTTGTCTAATTTGGGGTCTTCACCTTCTTATGTAAAGCCCCCTTCCCCTTTCTCTCCTAGATTCCATCCAGCACAGGTTCTGTATCTGGTTCAAGCAATGTGTGTGTGAACATGAGCTATGCTCTGCTAAGCAGTGTCCCTGGTGTATCAGGTTTCTGTAGATCTTCACCTCAAAATGTGAGACCACATGGGTGGCAGTGAAATCTAGGCAATCCTACAAAACATAGTGAGCTGCACATCATCAAAGGGGAAGCGAAGTGCTAGGGGAACTTGGAAAGCTGTGACAGTGGAATGGCCTCCAGTTTGTAACTGTCTTGCATTGCAGAAGAGTTCAAACAGAGGTGGCGTGTCCCCAGTGTGGGGCTGGGTAGGAGTGCTGAAGCGGGCCTGAGTCAGACTTCCAAGATCCCTCTGACCTTACTGTTTTTAAGGGGTTCTGACTTTATATGTTTTTAAGCCCTTCCTTCTGTGTATGGGGGAGTGGGGTGTAGAAGTGTCTGCATGTCTCAGAGATGAGTCCTACATCCTGCTGCTACACAGTTCTGGTTGTCTTCGACTAACTGTCAGAGGAGACATGGAGGCTGGGAGAACAGTGGGAGTGAGGGAGCCAGCAGGGGCAATGAGCTGTGGAGCTGTGGCTGTAGCTGCTGCTTTCTTCAGTTTCTTTTACCTCAAAGCACCTAGTTCAAATGTTGGAACTAACAAGATTCAAGAGAAATCTGCTTCTTCATAGGACGCCTTTGATGACGTGGTGAAGTATTTTGGAGAAAACCCCAAGACAACACCACCATCCGTCTTCTTTCCCGTCTTCGTCCGGTTTGTGAAAGCCTATAAGGTAAACAGGAGGAGGGTGTCCTATAAGCCCTCCTCATCATTCTTTCTTACCCAGGTGCCCTCTTTCAGACGGGTGTGAGTCCCAGCTGCCTTCTAGAGGTCTCCTGCTTCCTTTGGGTACCAGATCTGGGTGGTCAGTATAGAAATGGCTCTGGTAGCAGATCTGGGTGGTCAGTGTAGAGATGGCTCTACAGTCCTGTGGAGGCCGATAGCTCTAGGCCCCTCAGTTCACAGTGATTCAGTTCTCCTTCGAGTCAGGCCTGGTCCTCAGCAAACAGAAGCTGTTGGGTGCTGGGGTAGGTGAGATGCTCCAAGACCATTGCTGGCAATTGAGCCCAGATGCCAAGAGGGTGGGTTCCAACAGGTCTGTGGGGCTCTGGCTCAGAAGCCTTTTGAGCAGGGAGAGGATCATCGGAATAAACTGCCGAATGGCATGAATATCAGCTACTGATTTTAAGGGCATTTGATTGCTGGATAGTGAAACCCAGAATCAGTGAATTGTCTCGTGAAGTGCAGATCTTCTCCTTCCATTTGCTACAATTTCTGACTCTAAGGATTCTGGAAGATTGACTTTTATCATTTTCATTGATGTGATTTTTTTTTTTTTACTTGCCCAGCAAGCAGAAGATGAAAATGAACTGAGGAAAAAGCAGGAACAAGCTCTCATGGAAAAACTGCTGGAGCAAGAAGCTCTGATGGAGCAGCAGGACCCAAAGGTAGGAATCTCTGAGCTGGGCTCCAGGTGAGGCAAGTGGTAGAGAGGGGAACAAGCTGATTCACACAGGAGCCTGGTCGCTTCCTTCTGGGGTTTGGCGTGTGGAAATGTTCACTGATCACTTAGTTTAGCAACCATTGGAACGAGGGTTAGAGCATGCTTGGGTAGCATTGCCAAGTTTGTAGAGATCTGGATTTAAATCTTAGCTGGGTGTACAGAGAGGCCAAGCTAGGTAACCCAGAGACTGGAGGGCTTCATGGTGATACCCCAGATTGCAACCTCAATTGCTAGACCTTTGCTATAATTGGGAGGATGCCTGCATGCAGGGCAGAATCACAGGTAAAGGTCATAGAGGCCAGCAGCCTCTGCTCCAAAGCTGAAGACGTCTCCCCGTGAATTTTTCCAACTTCTTCTTTGGCCGCAGAATCCCGCCTTCCCATGCTGCCTGGTGGGGCCTTGTGTATTCTGGATGACAGTTTCTGTGTTTTTCCCTAAAGCTTCCTGAGTTTTTCTGCATTGAACAGAATGGTGGGATGATATTATGTATTTTTGACTAAGGCTACTTATTAAAGTACATAAAGCTCAGGTACATTTTGTATTTTCTTAAACTCCAAATGAGTGCTGGCTCCCCTCATCTCTGCCCTTCTTCTTTCTTCTCAGTCTCCTTCTCATAAATCAAAGAGGCAGCAGCAGGAGTTAATTGCAGAGTTAAGACGACGACAAGTTAAAGATAACAGACATGTATATGAGGGAAAAGATGGTGCCATTGAAGACATCATCACAGGTAAAGGACACTTCCTCCCTGTGGCCCAGGAGATCCTGCTGGCCTCACCTAGACTGGGCCACAGGCCAATATGGCAGCTTTGTTTGACCAGGGTTGGCGAGTGCTTTAGTGGATGTTATTCAGATTCAGAATTATGCAGGGAGACTGCAAGCTCCAATTTGAAGTATACATATAGTAGCATATGTGCTCCCCACCACTGTACTTTCAGTAGTCCTCTTTCTAATGATTTTCCACTGTACTTTCAATAGTCCTCTTTCTAATGGTTTTCCACTGTTTTTGATTTGTCATCATGCTCCATTTTCCTCCTTGTGGCCAATCCTGCTAAACTGCTTGGATAATAAACACTGTGGATAAAATTCATTCAGCTCTATACTAACCACAGTCCATGCAGATTTTCCAGAATGCTCTTGAAAAGCCTCTTTTTTTTTTTAAATTCAAAGTAGCTAAAGTCAATAGGAAATCAGGGACTCAGACTTTGGATGAAGCAACAGGCTTACAGAGACTGATCATTTTATCAGCTAGGAATTATCTTACTTTGCTTGGTTCTTGTCTGATTAAATTCTAGCTTAATGCTTGCTGCTTGAACCAATTCTTCTGAATTTCCATTCTTCTTTTTACTAGTCAGGATGATAAACTTGGGTAACTGTCTTTTGGAGGTAGTAGCAGGTAACCTTTCTTTCACGTCTCTTGTGCATGAATGCTATTATCAGCTTCAAAGATACTTTAAGCTTTCCATTATGATAAGGTTAAAAAATATGCTGAAGTATAGAGTACTTTGAGTGAGCCGGGTTTCCATGTACCCCTCACCCATTTCAACAATTACCAGTTGTGGCCATCTTGTTGTATATATGCTGTAACCACTGTGCCCCCCACCCACCCTCATACAAACTTTGGAAATTTTGGAGGCAAGACTATAATTTCATTTACAAATATTTCAGTATGTATCATTAAAAGATAAGTACTCTTAAAAAAACAAAAAAGTATACCCATAGTACCATTATCATATACCCCAAAGTAATAGTTCCTTAATATCAAATACACCGTCATTGTTCACATGTCCCCAGTTGTCCTAATTTTCAAAAAATATAATTCCTAGATTTTTATTTTTTATTGTATCTTAGTTAGTATTATAAATAGGAATCTCCAATTGCAAAAGCCATAAATTTTTTTCACCTGCTCAGACCCAGGGAAGTTAGATATATAGACAGATTAGATACATAAAAAAGGAAGTCAATAAAGATTCCCTTGCCCAAATTTAAGCAGTGTAAATCCTGAGTGGGTAGGTAAGTGGCCAATGCAAATGGTGTTCTCCACTCATGGCGCACACACGTGCTTACTGTCTATGACCTAGGACACCGTGCAGAGCTTGCACGTGCCCCTCAGGTTGAGCCCCCATTGTCTGGCATTTGTCCTCACCTCCTCCACACTGGGGGAGGAACTCCACTCTTGAGAAGGACCAGGAATGAGCTCTCTGTCCTAGGTAAGCACTCTTGGTCTCTGTGCCGCAGTGACATTAACGTGTAGGTAGGGAGACATGCAACCTTGCACACTTAGATTTGGAGCCCAGTTGTCATCAGTATGTCCTCCATCCTCCTGACACCTGACTTTATACAATGAATGGAATGTGTATTTTTTATTTTCCTTACCTAAATCATTAACCTACAGAGCAGGTGAAAGAGCAGTTTTTATTCTCCTTAGTTTCCTTTTTCTGTCCCTCCCCAAGCCCCCAGATTAACTCTTCCAGACTTTCATAAGCTAACTGGGGTGTATATTGCCTTTGCCCTTTCCTGCACCCCGCTCCCATGTGTGATTAACAGAGCACTAACCGTGTGCTAATGCAGTAGACTGCGCTCTCACTCTCTTCTGTTTGTGTTTGGCTCGTTTTCAATGCAGTGCTGAAGACTGTGCCCTTTACTGCTCGCACCGCCAAGCGTGGCTCTCGGTTTTTCTGCGAACCTGTTCTCACTGAGGAGTACCATTACTAAACTATTACTCTTTCTCACCTGATGTTCTTGAAAGGTTGCACAGGTTTTTTGACCTCTATGTCCCCCTGTGTGTGTCTGTTGGAGCCACCTCTGTGCCAGCATGGTACTGCTGTCTTCATCATGTTGTATTTTGTGTTGTTTCGCTGCATGGATTTGCCTTCCCGTCATTACTGCCCACTCACTGCCACTTTCAGGACACACACATGTCCATGTTGCCGTTACGGTCTGGATGGGTGACGATTAATAGAACTGCCTGCAGACATTTTCAGAAAACAGAACACTTCTTCAACTATCAGTAGATTGCTTATGCTATGTTGGGACTGATATCTTTGAACACAAAATGATAGTAACAGTAACTACTAAACCAAACATTTGAGCACTTACTGTGCACTAAAAGTTTCACATAATGATAGTAACACGAAATGTAGTAACAGTAACTACTAAACCAAACATTTGAGCACTTATGTGCACTAATAGTTTCACATATATAAAACTGGCCTCTTTTTGTACTTCGTTAACATGCTTTGATCATAAGATGACCCACTGCATGGAAGTGCTCAGAAATGACAAGGGCTTGAATGCTGCCTCATGATTTGCTGAAGAAACTGAACTGTGCTTGGCTATAAGTTGGGCCTTTCGTAGCTCTTACCAGGCCATATGTGGAACTCATGCCATGAGCTTCACATTGTGAGCCCTTTCAACCCAGCAGCCTGTATGTGCTGATCTTGGTGATTCACAGCCTTACAACATCCCAACCCTGAGCATGTCATCTCTATTCAGTGTCATGCTCAAGTTCAGCAATCAGCAATTCGATGTTGGAGCAAAGCTGCAAGGTGGGAAGTGAAAACACAGGATTAAAAGCATTCCTCACCATCATATTTCTGCCTCTTCACTGGTGGCTCTATTCCATGTCAACCTGGGTGTTTCATCTGTGATGAAGCCATATATGGACCTGCCTCTTTGGTCAGGGTAGTGGTAGTATTAGTAGAAATACTATAGCAAATACTTTTCATCAGGCCAGGTGTGGTGGTGCACATCTGTAATCCCAACGTCTCTGGAGGCTGAGGCAGGAGGATAGCAAGTTTAAGGTGAGCCTCAGTAACTTAGTGAGATCCTGTCTCAAAAAATAAAAAGGGCTGGAGATATGGCTCAGTGGTAAAGCATCCCTGGGTTTAATCCCCAGTACCAAAAAAACAACCCCCCCCCCCCCAAACCAAAAAACCTAGTTTCAGTAAAGGCCATTTAGAATTTTAAAAAAAAAAGGTCAAATTTTTCCAACAGGTGACTTTTTGGGCTTATTTTTTGATACTTAAAAAAGCAACAGACTTCTTTCCATGCCTAGAAAATAGACAAGAGTGCACTGTGTGAAAATAGCCATTACTTGACATGGAACCGGGTCAGTATTTATAACTATTCTATGAATTGTACTTGTTATGCATGTGTCTTTGTATCATTGCCTGCTCTACAGTGTGCTTACCCATCAATGCTTACTAACCAGCTGGAAACTCATCTGCTTAGGCTATGTTTGCTGTCAGTTTTGCTGCTGGACTGTCTGTCTTTCTGGAGCCAATCTTCAAAGCAGCTTGGAACTGTGTGGTCAGAGAGCTGGGTGGGAAGCCACACTGATTGTCTCCCTGTTTTATCTAACACTACTTGTAGTAATGGCCTCCTGCTTTCTTATCCTTTGGCTAATATGCCCAGGAATGTTAGGCACTAAGTTGAGTTGCTTTCCATTTTCATCCCATTTTTACTTAACCATCATTTTGTGTTTTTGTTTTTTTTTCTGTTTAGCCTTAAAGAAGAATAATATCACTAAATTTCCAAATGTTCACTCGAGGGTAAGGATTTCTTCTAGCACACCGGTGGTGGAGGATACACAGAGCTGGCAAGCATCACTTTTTACTTAGCTTCCTCCTCTCTCTGTATGCACATCAGTGGTTTCAATTTGTGGCAAAGGGTAATACTGGTGAGAATCTGACCAGGGAGAAGTCTTTGTATCTCATATTCCAATGATGTGAGGCTGAGCCTCTCTGTTGGACTCTCCCCCAGCCTACTATGTGTGATGGCTTGGGCAAGGGTATTTGTTGGTCACTGTATTTGCTCTGGGTTCTAGGCTGTCCTTCCCTTATGCTATTCTTAGCCTTTGAGTTATTCACATAACTCCATTTTGTTCTGGAGGTCAACATCAGGTCCTGGCCAGGTAACATGATATACAGCCTTTGAAAGATTAGGATTTTTAACTAATTTCTCAGCAAACTCCAGAACCACAGAGCTGGATATCCTTGATCTAACATGGAATTCAGACCTTCTAATTTACCATCGTGAGCCAGGGTACAGGAGCTTCAGGGGATTAGAGCATGCATGCCTATTCTTTGGTTAAATTTAGAGGAATAGGGGAGGATCACAAATTCCAACAGTTTAGGAGCCAGGAAGGTAACAGGCCTGGTCAGAACTGTTGAATCTGAGAGGATGTCTCGGTCCCACTCAGCTTCAGTTTTGTACTATGTAGGAATTTGGACTCTGTATTGACTGATTTTCTTATATTTCAAGAGAAGCCAGAAGAAACCCTAGTTTATATATGTTAATTACTGATTTAGGGTCCAATAAATATATTTTGGAACAATGGTACATGCCTATGATCCTGGACTCAGGAGGCTGAGACTGAAGGATCTCAAGTTTGAGGCCAGCCTCAGCAACTTAATGAGGCCCTGTCTTAAAAGGACTGGAGGGAGATGTGGCTCAGTGGTCAAGCACCCTGGTTTAAATACCAGTATCCCCCAGGCTCCTGAAAAAAAAAAGTAGGGAAGGGGATTGAAGTGGGGCAAATATTCTGTGGGCCAATTGACTTGTAGGCTCCATTTTCAATTTACTGAGTAAGTGAAGGCATGAAAAAGGTTAAACTCTACAAATACAGAATTAAACCAATTTAACCTTTTTTTCCTAGCTGAAGTCAACAATACTAAGTTCATAAAAGGAAAATACATACTAAAATTAAATAAGAGGAATAAGCCTGCTTTATTTATCCATTTATCTTGACTTCATCAAGAGGAGGCTAGGAGCTGACTCAGCTACCAGCCTTATTCCTGGAAGCATGCCTTCATACTAGGAGGACTTACATAAACTTCCTCTGTCCATTCCACTAGAGTGGTATCTTCTTGAACCGGTATGCAGTGATTTGATTCACTCAATACTTGCTTTCTTTTTAAATGTAAGGCTAATTGTTTTGCTCTAGCAACACAAACTGGAAAATGAAGAAGGGCCTAACAGCTTCTCCCTGCAGATAAAACACAAAAATACTGGGTGGCAGGAAAGAATATTGATGGAATGGAGTATTATTTTGAATTTAGATTTAATGGTTAGTTGAGCATTACATTTCTAATTCACAAAATAATAAACTCAGCTAGTCTAATGAAACAAGGCTATCCTTCCCTTATGCTATTCTTAGCCTTTCAGTTATTCACATAACTCCAAGGCAACACAAGGCAACCTGTGTCTGCAAACTAAGGCCTTTGAGGTTCCTTCTTAAAATTTCAAGGATAAGATAGGACAGGACAGTCTATTTTATTAGACTGTTTTATCTAACACTACTTGTAGTAATGGCCTCCTGCTCTCTTCTCCTGTTTAAAATTCATTAAAATTATTGTGCCATTCAGGCTTCCAGAAAAAAATGCAAGCCACAACTGCTACCATTTGAAGAAACATTTCAAAGTAAGACTTCCACTAGACTCTGGCCAGTGACAAAAATATCCCATGTTTTTTCTCTCATGTCCCAGAATCCTACCAGTATTACATCTTATTTTGATTGTAAATATTTAAGACAAATGTGTGTCTTTGGTTCAATGCTCAAAGAGTTTGTAAGGCCCATTAGCTGAGTCTTCTACACAAGCTGCTTTGATTGGCTGCCAACTGGCCTTTGTGTTGCTTAGATGCATATTAAAAGTTGCTTTTATTTCACTAGCACTCTCTTCTTTACAGATCTTAGAAACCAGCCATACCGAAGAGCCGATGCGGTGAGGAGAAGTGTTAGAAGGCGCTTTGATGATCAGAACTTGCGTTCTGTTAATGGTGCCGAAATAACGATGTGAACCCAAGACCTGCCTGCATGAATAGAGGGTGTGCGTGAATGAAACTGCCCATGTAAATTTCATGTGCTACTATTTAGCTGCAGCCTTGAACACAGATAAAATAATTCCTAAGGGCTCAGATTAGCAAATACATAGGAATTTTAAAATGATGGGTTCTCTTTTCAACCCTTGTTAACAAGTGCCTAAAAATGGAAGTACCTGCTCAGATTAATCAAAGCAATAGGATTTGATTTGATTAGGTATCTTTTTACACCGGTATGTTGTTCAGTTTTTTAACCAAAATGTAAATTTCATATTAAATTCATTACTTGCCATTGTGTTTATGCCATGATGGCCCACCCTGGTTTCCTGATAAGTTGTAAATAACATGGATGCATCTGCTTGGGGCTTCCTTTGCTGAGATGTCTTTTAAGGAATTAATTTTGTGTTACAGCTACATCCATCAACTTTGAGTTTTTAAGGACTTGCAACATGGAAGAAGGAGTCACATAAAGTCCTTCTATCATAAGCCCCAATAAAGTGCAAACAAGATCCAACTATAGTGGCACAAGAAGTCACTCAACTCTGCCTCGTTTCACATTCTACCACTTCTGTGCTAGAATGCCATATACCCTGTGAGAGACGGTCACTGGTTTGAAATCCAAGATGAGGACATAAAATGTTGAATAAGACTTATTTGCAACACTGTGTTCTTAAGCTAGAGGCAGCTTTTTAAATTATGCAAATATATTTATTAAATAACGCTAAAATTAACATCTCAGTAATCAGTAGTAGGATTTCTGAGGATTTTTATGGGTCAATCCTGAGAATAGAAATTGGTGCCTTGCTAGTCAGGGAGAAGTTTACTAACTCTATCAATAAGCATTCAAGATTTTATCTGTTAGCAGAGTAAAGTTAGGAACCTGGCCTTATTCTCCTCCGACAATCGCAGGGCTTTTCTTTCCTTTTGTAAATTGTTCATGTATTTCCCAGTTATGAGGAATCAAAATTAAGTTATTGAAAAGTATTACCATTGGTATTAAATTTGAATAAGTAATGGGACTAAATGGTCAACTAAGTCATTGTTATTTCCTTCCTCTCACGCAAGGCACTTGTTCCATTCCAAAGTCAAAAACTGGACCGAAACAAAATTTGTATTTTTCATAATATACATTCTGCTTCTGGCTTACCTTCTTGGCACATCAGTATATTAATTGTAAAGTTTATTGTATAGTATTTAACCACTGATTTTATTTTATGTTGTGCTTATGTGAACCCCTTGGTGAAGATCCTTTTTCCTTGGATAATGTGTAGTTATATCTCTTTTTAAATGTACAGATATTTTGCTATAAAATTGGTGCAGTTTTTTATGGTTTTTACACTTCTCTTTAATTCCCACCTAAGATTCTGGGTAATATTGTAAATATTGTTTTAAAATGCATCAGCCTATGCTATACAATCTGAATGTTATTTTAACTTATAGTTCTTTTTTTAATATATATATTTAACTACAAGGACAATTTAGGGATCAGTTACCACATTTCACTTTAGTGTACCTATTTACAGATTAAACTGCCACCTGCTGGAGCATTTCCACATGTACTTTAAAAAGAACATGCCAAGATTTTGTCTTTGGGTTAAGTCAACTTTAATTTTGATGAAAATAGCAAATTGACCATGACATGTAAGACCAATAGTTGGACCTGCCACAATGCAGCTATTTCCCAAAGCTCAAAGCTGACATGCATATTAAAAAATAATTGTCTATTAATGTACAAATAGACAATAATGTTGGCATGTTCTTTTCTGTGTCTATTAATGGGCCTGCATCTTAGCAATGTTAGAAATGTTTTACAAAAGCAATTCATGTTACTTTTCTGGTCTTTCCATGCCACGCAAGCAAATAAAACTATTTACACTACTATTCTGTAAAAATATGTTTTAATCTTTCAGTAGTAAATTTTAGGGGGAGGGTAGCAGTTTTACCTCTATTTGAACTCAGAATCCAAAGATGACTGGCAATTAGGAAAACTTCTTCATTATATGAACTCTGATGGGATCTCTCTGTATTGCCCAGGCTGGTTCTCAAACTCCTGGCTTGAGATTCTCTTCACACAGCCTCATTGGTAGCTGAGACTGTAGGCATGCATTGAGATGCCTGGCTTGCTTTATGAACTCTTGGGCCACCTGCTATGTAGAATGTAGGAACAAAACAGCTTTTGGTATTGAGAGATGTATCTCTATACAACTTATGGATTCTGGAGAGAGAACATTCTCCTTTGGTGAAGACACCACCCTCCAAATTTAATCAGGGTATTGTAAAAATAAATACAAATAGGTTATGTGTAGACTATATAGAGGTAAGCACCTGCCAACCACAATAGGCCCAACGCACATGCATACTGGTATTTGTAACACGTCATCAGAAAATTGTAATGCTTATACATTTTATGGAAGCAAATATTTTAGAAGATATTCCAAGTGGCTTAAAATAAACTTAGAGGAATATAATTAATTGCTTAAGGAATTGCTGTTACAATCAATAATCCTCTCACACTGCCATTTGTACTTTTAGATTTACTACACTTGGCTATTTATAGATCATATGCAATAATCTTATTTCATCCCCTCATCAAGCCTGAGAAGTATTAACACTGTCATATACAAAGGAAACCAACTAAGAAAAATTGCTTTGCCCAGGGTCATAAATCTAGTAGGTAGACGAACCTGTACAAGCACTGGTTCCCAATTCAGTGAACTTCACCCTAACTAGTTATACAATGTAGGTGAGAGTCTTATAAAAGGGAGGAAGAGCTGAATCCTGAAATAAGAATCTCTACTTTGCTTTATACCAGGACAAATGTCTAATGGTAAAAGATTTTGAAGAGAGACACTAGGTTTGATCCTTAGCACCACATTTAAAAAAAAAAAAAAAAGTCAAAGATATTGTGTTAATCTACAACTAAAATTTTTTTTTTTTTAAATTTGAAGTATTTATTTAATATCCCACAAATTCAGAAAGTTTTCAAAAATAAGATATTATTTGTTTTGAGGGTGTGGGGAGTGAGTACTGGAGATTGAAACCAGGACCTTGCACGTGTGAGCAAGTACTCTACCACTGAGCTATACCTTCACCAAAGTGTTTAGAAATGTTTACCTATGACTCAGAACGATGCACCATTGTCCTCCCTATTTCCCATGCTCCGCCATAAACTTCACTGCAATGTCCAGTGACCCTCCTGACACAATTTGCCAGGCACAGAATGGGTCATCACTGACTCTGCTTTGGGGTGTTCAACGTACTGGGTTTTTCTCTGTATAATATCTAATTTTACACTGGAAAATGTAATATTTTTTAAATAGCTTTTTAATTCACATGCCTAGTAACTTTAGTATTTGATAAAACTCTTCTGGTAGCCCTAATATACTGTTTTCTAGTATTTATTATCAGAAATGTCTACAAAGATGAATTTATCGGTACAGTACATACAGAAGAATTGTTTTCCATTTCTATAAATAAACATCCACCTATTCCCAAGAAAAAAACTGGACACAAGAAACGCATGAAGGTCTTTTTTTTTTTTTTTAAAGGGGTATTTTAAACATATTACACTGAGAAAACAGGATGTGGGCATTTAACAACTCAGAGAACTGCTTGCTGCCTAAAGGATGCTAAAAGAAAAATGTTGACACGAATCCAACTCATTTAGTAAAATATGCCATTTTTCTAGTAAATTCTATTTACAAAAGGTGAGATATATAACTGTACAGATGTGAAAACCTGGCAATTACAAATAGGAAACAAACCTTGCTCCTTCTATTACTCACCTTTCAGAGTAAGTCCTCTCCTTGGTTATAGAGGTAGGCAAGAAAACTAATACCTACCGAAAATATTTGTAGGCAGGACTGGAAAAAAAATGAATACACTAAGATAACCTAAAGAGTAGCATTCAATAGCATCAAGAAATGGCTTAGCTTGAATCCGATGTGTTTTAGTCAGTCAGTCCCTGTTTCAGTCTAGACTGGGGTGGGAGTAGAGATTAGCTAGTTCCTCTGGAATGTAAACAACTTTATACCTAGTGTAATTACCATCAAATTAATGGTCAATTACCAGTCACTAACAATGCATGAGATAGCCTTGAACTAGATCCCATTGAGAATTATAAGCCTAATTTCTAAGTCTATGAAGCAAGCTTAAGAAGAGAATTTACTATCATTAAGGAACCTGAATTTTCATCAGGTAGACTAAAATAAAGGAAGGGCTAAGAACAGTGTTGGGGTAGTTGAAGCAAAACCATCTGTCACTTCCTACCACCCCTTTAAGTTAGCTCCAATAAATAGGAATGGCTGCCATGTCACCATGACTCACCTCTATTCAAAACTAGCCTGAAAGGATTAGTTTTTCTTAGAATCAGGACTGATTCTAAGATTTTCTGAGAAACTTTTGGACACTTACGGGGTAAGTTAAGGTATAATCACTAGATCTTATTTTAGATGTACTTCAATGTGGCTTAAACTGTGGGTTAGTGATGTCTTTTGAAGCCCTTCAATAAGCATGATGGGTACCATGGTTGCTAAATGAGTATATTTATAAACTAATATTTTACATTCATTCAGTAAGTGCTTATTATGTGCCAGGCACTGTCCTACTTCACAGGGATATATACAGAGCAGTGAACGATAAAGACAAATCCCTGCCGAGGAATGAATTACATGACTACCACTTTTAGAAAACTTAAAAAGTATGAAATAAGCTAAGAATTACTAGACTGGTATATAACATTGTCAAAAGCACAGAATGAGAATATAAGTCTCTTAGAACACAGTTCTATGAAAATAAATCACCTTATTTTGCTTTTATGTAAAATGAGTGGCTTATTTTTATTTATCTTTTTGGTAGGAGGGACAAAACCCTTAGTACTGAACCACTAAGACACATCCCCAGACTGTTTCTGAGAGAGGGTCTGCCTAAATTGCTGAGGCTGGCCTTGACTTTATGATCCTCCTGCCTCAGTTTCCCAAGTTATTGGAGTTATAGGAGACCACCACCATGTCCAGGGGGTACAGTTTAAAGTAAAGCAGTAAGGATAGCTAAATTAAAATCTATCTGGGGCTGGGGATGTGGCTCAAGTGGTAGCGCACTCGCCTGGCATGCGTGCGGCCTGGGATCGATTCTCAGTACCATATACAAATAAAGATGCTGTGTCCGCTGAAAACTATATATATATATATATATATATATATATATAAAAAATTCTCTAAAAAAAAAAAAATATCTGGAATTGACAAAGAGACATCCGAAAGGAAAAATGAAATACAGAGAGTTAAGGAATTAAAGTACTTTGTTTCATATTTTCAGATCTAAAGTACTTAGCTTTCAAAAATGTTTAGTTTTTCAATTTATAAATTACATATTGTTTG